AAATAATAATAATAATAATAATAATAATAATAATAATAATAATAATAATAATAATAATAATAATAATAATAATAATAATAATAATAATAATAATAATAATAATAATAATAATAATAATAATAATAATAATAATAATAATAATAATAATAATAATAATAATAATAATTGATGGGTCATGAATAGTAAAATTATATTTATTATTTTGGAGGTTGCGTGAATCAAACTTCTATATAAAAGTTTTTTAAGGATTTAAAGGTATTGATATTAAAATGATCGACTTGGACGTAACCTCCAATAATTAGTAGCCGGAAATCTCGTTAATAAAAGTCCGTAATCTTCTCCTGCCCAATAATGTGTCAATACATAAATGAGACAGCACGACACACTTTTAATTACGGGCCAGTCTGCTGACTCATTAGGATAGAATGGCTCCACTTTTAGCGTGTGACTTGTTCTATAAAGGCCAACCCCATGACTTACGATTGCTGCTCTCTTTCAGATTCCATTCCACACTCATGCCTTACGGTAACAGAAAAGACGAAATAAATTATTATGATTAGGAAAGTCACAGCCGAGACATCAATATTTACATACGATCTATTATATCCTGATTTTGTGTATAGTTTAATCGCTAAAATATATTGGAAAATCTGATGCAGTCTCTGTCTTCTCTCTTCTCGTTGAAGTCTCCCGTCCCGGGAAGAAATAGAAGAAAAGAAAGGCCAGCTGAGAAGCAGCTGCTGGTGGCCACAATGATCCAATGCAGCACTCGGTGGCTGCAGGTGGGGAAAGGCCGGTCGGACGCCATCGAGCGAGCGAGCAGCATGTGATGGATTCGCCATGATTGCGTCCACTGACTCCCATGTGTTGCGGGGGCTAAAAAACTCCCTCCCCTTCTCGGCCCGGAGTCGAATACCTTGCGAGCATAAGACAAAACCAGTCTACCAACGTGTATTCTAAATGCGTAAAACTAGTCATCGTAGGTACACGATCCGTCTCCTTAGTGGCCTGGTGCAGGAGAGGTTGCGCGAACAGCGTGTGAGCGATCGATGGATTGTGTGCAACAAGCAGAGACAGAGTCGTAGGCAAAGAGGGAGGAGAAGGCAAACCCCTGTCAAATAACAAGTGCAGAATTCTGAACAGAGTCGAACACTATTTCATTCACCGTCAGCTCATCTTGTACTCCATCATCTTCATGAAGTTAAACAAACAAACAAACAATAGAAGGAGAAGAAGGAAAGCTCTGCATGTTAGTTTGGACATTGCAGAGAACACCAGATAAGAAGGAGAACGAACGGTTCCTTCCTATACGGACTTCCTCAACTGCAACCTTTCAAGCATTCGATGGCACCATATATCGTCCTCAAACTCAAACCAGGTAAAGATGGACACATGGAACCATTCCGTCGTTTACTGTTGGAGTGCTCCGTGATCTGCGGCAAACGCCAGGGCGCTCATCTCCCTCTCGAACCGCCACAGATAATTGAGCCCCACCAGCAGCTCCGTGACGGCGGCCTCTACCTTCGCCCTGTCGGCGAAGTAGAGCGTCTGCAGCAGGAGCACGTTGGCCCTGGGCGCCGCCGCGCTCCGCCGCTCGAAGCTCAGCTCCCCCTGCCACCTTATGGTGTCGTGCGCCACCGGCCCCAACCACTCTGCGATCCGCGCCAGCGCCGCCCTCCATTCGGCGGCCAGGCCAACGTCCCGCGCCACTGCCTGCCCCACCCCCCTCAGCCTCGCCCGCAGCTGACACCTCACGCTAGCCGGCAACATCCCGTACAGGTCGTTCCTGGCGTCCGCCCCCACCGCCCTCGGCGACCGGATCATCTTCTCCAGCACTATGATCAAGTTGGCATAGAGCAGCGCCAGCGCCGCCGCGCCCAGCGTCGACGGCGGCGGCACCAGCATCGACGAGCCGGTCTCGAAGAAGCCTCCTTGCTCGTGCTTCGACGGGAGCAGCGGTGGCCCCGACAAAAACTTCGAAGGCTGCGAAACCGTGTCGGAGGACGGGTACACAGCAGCGGATCCCGACAGGCTTCGAGGCAAGGGATACGACTCGCTGCCGACGCGGAAGATGTGCTTGATTCTGGTGACCACCGTGAACGCGGACCGCCCCAGAAGCGACACCACGGCGTCGAACGTGCAGCTCCAAAGAGACGTTTGTTTCAGGTACTTGACCTGCTGCTTCTGCCAGAAGATCTTCTGCTGGATCTCGGCCACCATGGCGAGCCTGCTCGTCGACATGCTCCGGTTGCACTCGCCACCGCAGTGCACGATCTTTCTGAGGCTGTGCTCCGTCTCTGATAGTTGGTCCATCTCCTTGTAGAGCGCGGCCGTCGACGCCACGTACCGATCCATTTTCCTGGCCTTCGACTCCATCTCCTTCCATCCCATGACCCACCGATTGGCATCGTGGCCAAAGTCGGAGAATTCCTTGAATCCTCCGCTAAATCCTCGCAGAGCCGGATCGACGCATCGCTGGCTCAGCATGGAGACCGATTCGGCGACGAGGCGGAGCGACTCGACCAGCTCAGCGCACGCGAGGCCGAGGAGGAACGAGTCGTCGTCGGAGACGATCTTCCTGATGCCGGGCAGTGCGATGGTGTCGTTGCGGAGGCGCGCGAGTTGCGCGTCGGATAGTGAGCGCCACAGGTGGAGCAACTTAGACATGAGGCCGGCGATCTCGAAGGCGAGGATGCCAACGGTGGCCCTCTTTCGGTCCAGCGCGGAGTCGGCGGCGTCGGCGTTCATGGTCGATCGGACGGACTCGATCCCGGTGAAGATGGCCGATTTCACTCTGCTCAGCCATGAGTCTAACGCCATGGTACTCATGCTAGCTCAAGGGAATAAAATGGCAAAGCAGAACTGGGTTATATCTTTTTAGAGAGAGAGAGAGAGGAGGGGTTGCAGGGTCGATGGGTGAACAAATAAGAGCAGCGAGCAAAAAGCTACTTCCTCGCTGTGTTCGATCATGGCCTGTTGAAAGCCAACAAGCACGGAGGAATGGAGAGACAACCGAGCATATAAATAGCGTGAAGACTTAGCTTTTCCTTTTGACTCGATGCAGATACCCACTCCTCACCATTTCCACCATTAGTAAGCTGTGGAGTTAAGATCCACAGCAACGAATACTTGTGAGGCTAAACACCTTCACCATTGACTTCCACGCATCTCCACCGCGTTGTTGCTTCGATACAGAAGGAGGGGATCTATATTTTAGTGAAGGTCAAACAAGGGGTCAATCATCATCAGTCCCCCAAACACAATAGAATGTTCTTGGCATTTTCTAATGAATTCAAACATACCAAATGGAGTGTTCTATCTGATAAGGTGTTTATTAGCACCAAAATTCTTCTCTCCCATCACTACTCGATTATGCCATCATGGCTACTTATTAACTTGGTGTCGGTGCTCTCATGGAATGTTGTCCTCGTATCCCAAGATTCCACGATTAGGTGATTTGTGATGGACATCAGTACCCAAAGTATAGCAAAGCAATGCCATGATGTTTTTCTATGTAGAGCCATATGCCACATGGCATATAATAAGTTCACATCCAAATCCGGTCAAAATATTAAGTTCGATTTAAGATCAAATGAACGATGGTGGGCTGATTTAATCTTATTTATAGTTATAGCCACCGTGGAAGTGATAAATGTTTATCTGATTTCTGAGGTCAAAATAAGAGAATGAGAGGATAGGGTTGACCATTGGGCAGTCCACCAATTGAGATCCGTTTGACCCACAAAACCAGCATCCATGACGTGATCCTTGGAACTCATACTGCTCACACGAAATATCTCCCTAGTAACCCTGTGGCATCCGTCGAGCAACAGTTGACTCATCAGATGCGGATGAAACTGTGTTCTACCAGTTGCTGACCACGGCTTTGACTTTTCCTTACGTAGTTTGGAGTTTGAACAGCATTAAGATTAGAAGATAGACACAGATCTCCATGTTTATGAGACACAGCATCGTACGTCATATATAATGGTCCATGTACCAAATCCATATGGAAACTACGTGCAGGCGACTGTTTTGGGAATATGGAGCAGAACACACCGTGGTGTTTATGGTAGCATTTGCAGACCGATAGCTGGATTGAAATGGATGTGAGAGTTGACAAAGGGATAAAGGCTTGGGTTTTGGAAATCCAGGTGGATCAATGGTGAGAGGCCGAAGTGGCCTGCCGGCTCCATCCACCTCGACGTCAACCAGCAACTTCCGAAGAAGAGGCAGCGCATGCAGTGGAGGAGACTGCTGCAGCTTTCGAAGAATAGGCAGCGCATGCAGTGGAGGAGGAGGAAAACAAAAGAAGGGAAGAATAGGCAGCGCATGCAGTGGAGGCGGAGGAAAAGAAAAGAAGGTTTCGGGTGGAGGAATCCCTCCCCCCGCGCCGCCCCGCCCACCTTCTTCTTCGTGCAAGAACACGGTCGCCTCCACTCGATGCCGGTGGCGGGATATGGTCCGCATTGACGCAGACGTTGGTGACCATTACTCGGATCCCACCATGAAGGAGATCTGGTATTCGATCAATTCGAGCTAGTGCATGTGAGAGTGGGATATAATGATGAGAAGACTGACCACCTCCCCATGACTTCATTCTGAGGCTCTTTAAAGCCCTTGCCGGCTTGCACGCACAGATGAAAGGGAGATGGGGACGTGCTACCCTTTAGGCGGACAATACAGCAAAGAGATGGGACCATACTGCTTGTTGAATGTCTATAACAAGCTGCTTAGCCGGGGAAAACCTTCTCCTCCTCCTCCTCCTCCTCCTCCTCCACAGTTTTGGCGATCAAAGGTATGCGTGCAGACGGACCGGACACTGGTGAGATCGAAGAGCAAGACAAATGAGCTTGACCAGAACCCTCGGAACGTAGACGGAGTCCAAAGGAATGAATGATGCATGGAATAGACTGTGAAACCTAACAAAACAAAGAGCCCGGATGGTGATTTTTCGATGACATGAGTGGCACCTTACAGAACAATACCTGTGGATTTTAAGGAAGTCTCAACTTGTCTATGCTCTGATCGCAGAAATGAGAAAAGAAGGGAGGAGCCTAATTTCTTCTGGTGAAGAGTTATGGGGGTGCAAATCTACGGAGGCTTCAGCTGATAATATCATCGTATTCTTGATCTATAATAATTTAAATTTTAAATATATTCCTCATGATAGTTTAATCTTACACAAGTAACATAACACTACAAACATCAACAATAAGGTTGATTTTCTAACTAATTTTACTAGAGTTCATGTCTCGCAACTTCCACACTCTCTCCGGCCATACTTGATGTCTCCGTACATAATTCCGAGAGCATGACTTAATGTCTCTCACCTTCCATACGTCCAATCAGAAGGCTATCTGTTTCCATTCTCTCTCCGGCCAAACTCCAATGAACACACATCCATAATTCCTTCGATATAGGTGACCTTCTATATTTAAGCTCTCTCTCTCTCTTTCTATACGTATATATCCTAAAAAAATCTAAGAACCTCCATGTATGTAATTGTCATTGAAACTTTAAATGACACTAATATCCTTTAAATACTTAATCATGTTCAAATAATCTAATATTTACTATCATTAGTCATAACTAAATCGATTTTTTTTCTTATTATTTTAAAGAAAAACTCGTTAATTAATCAAGATTCACACGGTTCAATAGATGAGAGAGAGAGAGAGAGAGAGAGAGAGAGCTCCCAAGTCCCCATTGGCCAAAAGAAGTAGAATATGTGCTAGGCAAAAATTTCTTTACCGAATCCTTAATTACTTAACATAATGACGGATGACCTGCCCATCTCAAAAGTATTGGTCTGATGGTATGGTATATTAGATCCATTTATTAGGATTAAAATCTTTATCTACTTTTTTCTTTTACTAAAGCCTAATGTTTCAAAATTTTATTCAATAAATTATATATATATATATTTACTAACTGAGTTAATTATTATTTTTAAAAATATGTCAAGTTTCGACCTATAAAATTTAGTAAGCAACTTAGTACGTCACTATCCGATCAATGTTTTTGGTATAAAAACACATGATTGTAGTATATCGGTTGATATATCTAATGTTGATACTCCAAATTTTATCGGATGAATATTTATCATTTATCAACATTGGATGGGCGAAACTTTATTCAATAAATTTCATACTTAAAATACTGTTTTAATGGTTGGAATTTAAGAACTTTATTGCACAGACGCATCCTTTTTCTTAGCTGCCAACCATGAATAGACTTAATTGCATTAACTTTAATATAACATTATAATAAGGAGCGTTTAATACGCGAAGAGGTAATGACTATTTTGTGCGTTATCGTCGAATCAGCTTGAAGAACTAACGGATAAATAAGAGGCCAGCAATCGATGCATCTCAATAAATACGTTTCCTTCGGCAAGAAGAAAGAAAAGAGTGATGATGGATGAGAGACGATTAATGATATCCCACACCGACTCTTATCGAAAAACTTATAGCCCATTCCCATCACATGCTCATAATTAGACAATCTATACATGAGTTGTGTTGCGGTGGGGCAACTGTTTAAGCCGTGGCCTCGGGGCTGTCGCAGCTTGGTTCGGGTCCGGAAGGCGGGGATCTCCGTGGGGGCGCTCCTCGAGCCCGCTGAATCTCCGAAGGCTTCGCACCTGCACAAAGGTCGGGTCGGGGTGCTCGTCCCGACCCCTCCGACGATCAAGTCAGCGAAAGATGTGGAGGGGGTTTCGAAAGAAGTAGTGTTGTGTCCCCCCTTTGTTTAGAGCTTTGGGGTATTTATAGATGAGCTTAACGTTACCTGACGTGGCTGCCCGCAGGAGCAGGATCGTACCTCTGATGGCGTCTGACACGGTCGTTGGCGTTGCGTGGAGGACCGGATCGCTGCAGGGTATGGGCAGGGGTCGGTCGTTGTCCTGCCTTGCCATGGTCAAGCGTGCGGGGTCGGAAGTCGCTGCTTGACAGCGGGTGTCGTCAGCGCGGGTCTAGTCAGCGTTATTGCCTTCCTCATCGGGCAGCGTGGTGCCCAGGTGGGACTGTCGTCGTGGCACGTCATGTTGCCATTATTTTCCCTATCATATTCCCCCCCCGAAAGAAGCTATGCATCGGTTGTGACGGGTGGGGGAGGGAGCCCGAGGCATAGCTGCGTCTCTTGGTGTTGAAGCGGTCTCAGGCGACATGAGGTCGAGCTCATCTTATGCAGGCGGGGTCTCGGGCATTAGGCGACCGAAGAGCATGACACAGGCGGGCTGACCGCGCTGATGTGCCTCGGGCACTACGCGGCCGAGGAGCACGACACAGGCGGGCTGACCGCGCTGATGTGCCTCGGGCACTACGCGGCCGAGGAGCATGACACAGGCGGGCTGACCATGCTGATGTGCCTCGGGCATTACGCGGCCGAGGAGCATGACACAGGCGGGCTGACCACGCTGATGTGCCTCGGGCATTACGCGGTCGAGGAGCATGACACAAGCGGGCTGACCGCGCTGATGTGCCTCGGGCATTA